GAACGGGGGCGGGGGCGGGAGCGGGGGCGGGGGCGGGGGCGGGGGCGGAACGAGGCCGGGAAGCGACACTCGCGCACTCGGCTCAAGTGCGCAGGCGCGCCGCCGTGCGGGAGGTCGGCCTCTCCGCGGCTGCTGGTCAGGACCTTGCGCTGCAGATTTCAGCCGGTAGTGTAGGCGTCCTCGGCGCCAGCCTGGAGAGAGGAAAACAGAGAAATGGGATTGGTTTCCACAGAGCTAGAGTCAACGCGGCTGCCCAGACCCCTCTCCCAAAAGCAAGAATCCCGTCCTAGGTTACTCTGAGGCCTGCCTTTGGCCTTTGCCGGGCCCTTGGATCCCCGCCTGCTTGGGAAAGTGGTCGGGATAAGGCCGCCCTTCTCACCGCCCAGCTAAGCAGTGACGGCTTCAGAGACCCATCCCTCCGAAGAATCATTGGCTTGTAACATGAAGCAACGCTTCTATATGGGATCTTGCGAAACCTTTTGCAAAGATATCCTTGGTATCCTTACAGTATACAAGGAATAAAACAAACAGTTATGAATCCAACACTGTTCCCTTCAGAACAGTATCATAATTTAACAATTCATGTAGCAGAGGAAAGAATCAGATAGCCAACCTTTTTTAGGCCTAAGGGTGTTTTAAACCAGCAGTTGAACTTTTACACAAAGACCAGTTCACTGAAACTTGGGGAAAATCCACAAAGTTAGAGCAAATGTACTGAATACAGGAAAATCGAGTTAATTGAAACAGCAATTAAATTTTCTTTTCCTTTTTTTATCCTTAGAAATAATAGAACTGTGGTGTTTCAGGAACGGTAGAGTTTATCTGGTCTTAGTCATTGTTTCTAAATACAAGCCGGCTTATTGTCAAACTACACTATTTTGAATATTACCATAACCAACAGCACTATGATCTATCACTTGTGCATAATTGTTCTTGTTCCACCGAGGATAAAATACCACGGTGGGTTTGTTCGTTTGCCATATAGCCTAAAGTTTCTTTTCTTTCTTTTTTTTTTTTTTTTTTGGACCCGTGATCGAACTCAGGTCCTTGCGCTTACGGGGCAGGCGGTGGAACCAGTGAGCTAAATCCCCAGCCCACAGCCTAAAGTTTCTTAATGAGTAAGTCAAAAAAGTATAAAACTACCACAGCAACGTTACACTAAACTTTCTTGTATTTGGCTTAACAGTCTATACTCAATCTAATAAACTTGATCTAGCAGTTCTGGTCAAGTAAATCTCCCCTCCTCTCAGAACATTCAGTAGGCTAACCAAGCCCTTTAATTGCACAGTTGAAACAATTTCAGTTCAAAATTTGCTAACTCGGGCTAACATTAGTGTCTTGGTTGGCATTTTTACATTGAATTGATTTTTGAAATTTTGGCAGATTACTTGTAAGATGTCCAGATTTTATCTTGGTAATTTAATTGGTTTATTTTCTATACTATTTTGTCCACTTGTGTTATATTTCAATACTTTCACTTGTTTTCTTTTTCTTTTTCTTTTTTTTTCCTTTTTCTTTTTTTACTGTTTTGGAAACTTCAGTAAGACAGAAACTATTACTATGATTGTTTTGTTTTTGTGGCACGGGAGATTGAACCCAGTGTAAGTACTATACTCTACCAGTGAGTTACACCTTCAGACTTTATTTTTGAGACAGGGTCTGATTAAATTGCCCAGGTTTATCTTGAATTTGAGATTTTCTTGCCTCAGTCTCCCAAGTAGCTGGGATTATAGGCATGCAACCACACCTAACTCATTGTTAGTATTTTAAAATTCATTCATAATTTAAAGTATCTAGTGGCACCTCGGGGTTTTTTGTTGTTGTTTTGGTTTGGTTTGGTTTTTTGTCCTCATGAAAGTCAGTCATAAAATAAAATGGAAATTATTGTTTTTGAAAATAGCACAAGAATAAAGAGACCCAACCCAAAAATAAAAACATGACCTGGCTGGGGTGGAATAGCATGATAGTCCCAGTTTACTGGTCGGCCGAGGCAGAAGGATCACTTAAGCCCTGGAGTTCAAGCCCAAAGCAGTCTGGGCAACATACAAGATGCCCACAATCTCAAATTTTTAATTAAATAAATGAATATTTTGTAGCTCTATTTCTTTCTGTATAAGAAAGATATTGGACTGAGAATATAGCTTAGTGGTAGAGCATTTCCCTAGCAAGAGAAGAGGGCCTGGGTTCAATCTCCAGCACCACAAATAAAATAAAATTCACCTCCCTGCTTAACAAACAAAAACATGTTTTCCTACTACATTTTTCTCCTGGATTGGCCTGAAGGTTTTGTTACAGCAGTGGAGTTTCCCCACGTAACAACAACAAAAAAAAGCAAAGTATGTACTTAGTTCCTTGCTTTTATTTTTTTTTCTGACATTTTATATTCCAAAAGGTCTTAATCACAACACAGCTGATAAGTACATGCCCTTTGCACATCCCCAAATCAAGCGTCTGATTGTATCAGTGTCTCAGCAGTTTTCTTTTTGTCTGGCAATGCAACAGGAAACACTAGGAATACTTTTCTCTATTTCTATCCGGTTACAAGAGCAAAATTTCTTCATAAGCATGTATCTTTCTGTATTTTCTTTTTTGTTGTTTTTTTCTTTTGTTTTTGTCTGGTACCGGGGATCAAACTTGGGACCTCGCGCTTGCAAGGAAGGCACTGGAACCACTGAGCTAAATCCCCGGCCCTCTTTCTGTATTTTCAATAGAAAAGAAAAGAAAAAACAAAGAGGAGGAAAAAACCAAGTAGGTAACCCACTCCGTTATTCTCTTATTTTTAACAATAATTGATGTCATTGAAAAAGATCAAAAAGTAGACTGTGAGTTATCTATAATAGATGGTGAAGTGAATTTCCTCATTTGAATATTAAAAAGAATTCAGAAAGGTGACATAAAAGCAGAGCCAGTTGCAAAGGGGAATTAAAATAGATTTGTTTCTAATCAAGCCTTATTTTCACACTGTGCGGAGCTGTAGTTAGCATGCTAGGCATGCTCAAAGAGTTCAGTCATGCGTAATGGGAGCTCAGATGGGGAAAGCATCTGAGCCTCAACATCAAGCTTTGAATGCTAACATGGCAACTAGAGCAGATAAATTAATATCGCCATTTAAATGGGAGGACAGTATTTACCAGATATTGAACAAGGATTTGGTTACAAATTGGGTCTCAAACTATTAAAACTGTTTCATAAGAAAACATATACTTAAATATAAGCATTTCTTCTAAAGGCATCATATAGAAATATATTAGCTAGCCCTAAAATGACCGTAGCCCCAACCACTTGAGAACCTAAAAATACTAATTCCTTTTGTTACTATCAGGGACCCCCCAAAAAAAAACCCAAGTAGAAAATAGACAACACCACTATGGTTTTTTTGTTTTGAAACAGGGTCTTGCTATGTGGTTCAGGCTGATCTTTAACTATGTAACTAGCGTCAAACTGGCAGTGATCTTGCCTCAGCCTCCCAAGTGCTGGCATTATAGGCATGCATCGCTGTAATCCACTGTGTTTTTTATCAGTGTTTGACATCATGCACTTTCTTCCTTTCTCTTTGTATCTGTCTCTTTCTGTGTAAAAGGTACATAGCTATACACTGAGCTTCAGCTCTGGCTTTTTATTTATGTTTATTTTTATTTGGAGAAACAGCTTTGCTAAATCATAAAGTTGCCCAGGCTGGATGAGAACTCTTGAATTTATAATCCTCCTGCCCTAGTCTCCCAGAGTAGTGGGAATACAGACATGTACCACCACACCCAGCTGACATCCTGCTATTTCTGAGGGTCAAATGGTAAGAGACCAGTCTTACCACCTGCCTTACCACATAGCAAGAGTACTCAGGGAAAATTATCTTTACATAGATTATCAAAATTCCTAAAAATTGGGGCCGGGGATTTAGCTCAGTGGCAATGTCCCTGCCTCACAAGCACAAGGTCATGAGTTGGATCCCTGGTACAAAAAAAAAAATCTTAAAAATTGAATAATAATAATAGCTACCTACTCTTCTAGATTACACTTTCAGCAAGCTAATACTTCATAATTTACTTTACTGTTCAGGCCTCTAAGAAAGATAAGTATCTTTTTCCACAGTACTGGGGATTGAACCAAGGGCCTGGAGCTTGCTCTGCCACTGAGCTACATCCCCAGCTTTTTTTTTTTTTTTTGGTAGCAGGGATTGCACTCCCGTCCTTGCGCTTGCGCAGCAGGCAGCAAAACCACTGAGCTAAATCCCTGGCCCAGCTCCTTTTTTGTGTGTGTACCAGGGATCAAAAGAACTCAGGACCTTGCACTTACCAGGCAGGCTCTGTGCCGCTGAGGTAAATCCCTGGCCCCCTTTTCATATTTTTGAGACAGGTTCTCAGTAAAATCCCCAGGTTGTCCTTGAACTCTCAATTCTCTTGCTTCAGCATCCAGAGCAGCTGGGACTGCAGGCATCCAAGACTACACCCAGCATAATAGTTGACTTTTTTTAAAAAGAAAATCAATTCCACCACATTATGATAATGTTTTGAATGCTATAGTTGGAAAGAGATGATAAAAGAAAAAAATGTTGTCTCATAGAAAAACAACTA